GGCCGTTGGAGTGAAGGATTTCTGCCAAAAAAAGACGCAAAATGTTTTACAAAGTTGACCGTTGCTCAGTTTTACAGGCAGTGAAACGCAGCTCCGGGAGACCTGGGCTGTCCACTCGGTGTAGAAGCGTGGGAATAAACCGGGGGAAAAGCTGAGAACAGAGGGACGTCCTGGTGCAGGGAGCGCTCCGTGATTGTGCCCATTCATACGGCCGCTGGGCATGAACCAGTCGCTCGGTGTCCCAGGGAGACGTGATGATGCTGGGTGGGGAAAAGCCAGGAAATTTTGGAGGGAGGCAGAACTTCTCCTTGCACCTTCCTGGTGCAGGTGGGCAGGGCGAAGACAGCTTGTGGTACGCGAAGCGTTAGCAGGGCTCTGTTGTGGGTCCCGACACAGCGGTGCGGCCGTGGCTGCTGAGAGGGAGTTGTGCTGTAGATGCTTGCGAGCAGAGCATATCCAGTAATTACTCCCAGGGAGTATAATGGGAGGACAAAAAAATCCTCAAACTAAGGATATCTGTTTGAGGAGCCCTGCCTCCTGCAGAGCGTGGTCCCACGCAGTGTGGCTGGGTGGACGCAGTGATGTCCTGTGAATGGAATCTGTTGTTTTGTTTCAAGGGGAAGAGATAACCGGAGTTTTCATTGCCACACCCGGAGAGGAATAACAAGCCAGCAGCCGTCTCCAAACAGCCCTTGTTACCAGCCCTCAGGCTGTGCCTTGGCTGGGGTTTCTTGGCCAAACGTGTGAGTGTGGGAGAAGATTGCTGTGGGGCTCTTTACAATGGGTGATGACTGATGTACAAAATGGAAACTCCGTGTCACGGGCAGACGTGATGCCAAACGGCCCCTGCAGTGCAGGGGCTCGACTTGTCACGCAGGGAAAGCAAACGAGGCTTCAGAAAAGTGAAATCATTTGATATGCTAATCAGTGCCTTGTTTTAGGCACAGTAATGTCACTGTGAACAAAGGAGAAGAAGTAAACAGCTAAGACAAAAGGGACTTGCTGTCCTATTGCTGCTGGAAAAGTTCCTCTATTCCTGAATAAGATTTTTCTCAATAGTAAGAAATTGTTGATCAGTCACTTTTTTCCTCTTTGACCTCCGTCCTGTTACCTCCTTGGCAATCGTGTTGTGAAGGAGCCGGTTTTAGAAAAGGCAGCCCATCTTGAGACAGCAAGAGCCGTAGGGTTGGATTAATCAGCAGTCTTTCACGTCTGTGTACGTACGGAAACCATCAGCTCTTAGCTGATGCTGTTGGCACCCGCGCTTGGTCCGATCTGGCGTTGTTCTCCCTGCCCTCCTGAAGCTGCTCACGGGGTGCTGGGAGGTGCAAGCGTACCTCTCCGGTATCATTTCAAGGAGCATTGCACAGCGGTCTGTTCTTCATATTTGCCTCAGAAGAAATAGCATTTATTTAAGTCCGAGACTTAATCATAGAACTGCAGTACTGGAGTCATGGGAACTCATTGATACGCGTAGTACTCGGCATTTTATGGTTGTGTATTATTTTGTCTTTGCAGGTTGTCTGTCAGTTCGATATTCCAAATTTGGGCCTGCCCTTCCCAGCGGAATTAGTGCTTGCTTAGTGGAGGGCCACCTTGGTTTTCCCAGGTCTTGCTGGGAATTAGTGGACAAACTCAGCTCGTCAGGACAGGAGCAGAAGTGCTCCCTACACTGTTTCACACAGAGTCTCCTTACCATGGGAAACGCTGCGGCAACGGCTCAAAAACCAAAACCAGCCCCAGCCCAACCGCCCACACACCAGCACCCCACAGCACCTCGCTTCTGTCCTGTGGTGCTGTCACGTGTTGTTTTAATCCATTTGGTCACTGGTTGTGTACTAATTTGAGAAACACGGATGAAGGTGGTGATTAAAATCCGGTTCTCTTGTAGATGTCATCCACCTTAATTGGTCTTTAGAGACAGGTAAAAATGCTGTTCCTGCAGATGCTGGTAATATCAAAATCACAGAATCACAGAATCCCAGCATGGTCAGGGTTGGCAGGGACCTCTGTGGGTCACCCAGCCCAACCCCCTGCCCAAGCAGGGTCACCCACAGCAGGCTGCACAGCACCGCGTCCAGGCGGGGCTGGAATATCTCCAGAGAAGGAGACTCCACAGCCTCCCTGGGCAGCCTGGGCCAGGGCTCCGGCACCCTCAGAGGGAAGAAGTTCCTCCTCGGGTTCAGCTGGAGCTTCCTCTGCTTCAGTTTGTGCCCGTTGCCCCTTGTCCTGTCGCTGGGCACCACTGGAAAGAGTCTGGCCCCGTCCTCCTGACCCCCACCCTGCAGATATTTAGAGGCATTTCTAAGGTCCCCTCTCAGCCTTCTCTTCTCCAGGCTGAACAAGCCCAGCTCCCTCAGCCTCTCCTCGTAGCAGAGATGCTCCAGTCCCCTCCTCATCCTCATAGCCCTCCGCTGGACTCTCTCCAGTAGCTCCTCAAAATACTGCAACTGAAGGCGAGTCAAGGAATGTATAACGTAAATACATCAACTGCATTCAAGCTTAAGCTCACAGCGATGGAGCTGACGCAACTGAGCACGCTGTTTGATACCTTCATACTACACGAAGGTAAACTACTACTTTTATACTCTGTGTAGAAGGAGGTTATTTACGCTAAATGAAAAATTTCAAGAGTACACCATACAAAATTCAGAAGATCTATCTTGTCGGCACTTCATGTCTCAAATTTGCAAGTGAAGGTAATGCACAGGGTTCAGCTGGAACTCACGTAGCTTTTCCATCATTGAAATGTGTTTCAATGATTATGTGAAGAACAGATGTGTAAGTTTTCTAATATAATGTGTCTTCGTTAAGCCTACTGAGTTAAAATGTACAACATGGTGTGGAACTTTTTTTACGAGCCATCAGTAGCTTGCTCCAGGAACGTTTGTCAGCAAACCTCCAAAACAGAATAGATTTCAGAATGGTAGCAACGGTCACAAGACTCGAGATAAAATGGTCCTCTACAAAATGGAGTTGTGCAACAGAAAAGAGAGATTTAATCATAAAAGCAGACTGTTCTACGAAGAGGTATCATTAACTTTATTCCTTGCCTAATGAAGTTTTATAAAATAAACATACATCTCACATCTTTGATCCAGAAGAGCCCCTGGTAATCGTGCTGTTGACCTCTTTGCAGAGGAGAGAGTGTGGTCTGGTGGGCTGGGCGAAGGCTTGGGGCGTTTTAATCTGCCATGGCAACAAGACTAACTTTCAGGGTGGTCTTGGAGAAACCACGGCAGAATTTAAAGGGCTTGTGCATCAGTTGAAAAGATTAACAACGATCACAACAATAACAGTACTTTTCTCTAAGGTTGATTCTGTGCGAGTGTGTGTTGAAGCTCAGATGCTATCCAGACTTGGCGATAAGTGCCGTGTGTTTAAACCTACTCCCAGAAAAGCTACGGGCAAAATTCTTCAGCTTAATAGAAGAAAAAAATATCAGTGTAAATATTTATGTTTGCTCATAAATCCCCATCACAATGAAGAAATTGCGTGCTGCGTCGCATGTGGGGTTTGGTTTTTTGAGGGATCTGTACCGTCATGAAGACAAAACCCCATTATCCTTTACCTAGGCACAAGGTTTCAGCCCGGTCAGAGAATCCCATTGCATAATGAGTAGCTTGGGGGTTGCTTTGGGGTTTGGGCTCGTGGTTTGTTGGGGGTTTTTTAATCAGATCTTGCCATTTTATTTTTGATGTGATTTGTAGACGGTCATAGCTGACACCACTGAAAGCTGCATCTTCGTATGTGTTCAAATACGGCTTTGGAAAATGACTCATTACTTCTTTTGGCACTAAAAACTTTATTACAGTACATGAGCAATTTTGCAAACAATGGAGAGTTTATTCAGCCTAAACCATTCGATTTAGTGTGTATTTGGTAAGCATTTACAGCTCGGGTGTTTTGCTGAGGCCAGGTTACCGGGCTGTTTGTTTAAGTGAAATAACTTTGAATAACTTTTTGTAGGTGCTTCATAGGTAGGTTTTTCTTACTTGACAACTTGGAGCAATATTATACGTAGCTTTCTGAACAGCCCCTAATAATCTGTTCTGGCTTGCAAATAATGTAAACAACAAGTCTTGTAAATCATGAGGAAAGAAGTAACCCGAGACTTCGGATGAGAAAGCTGGCTGCTCTCTGAGTTCGGCGGAGAGGAGGTCGGAGGAGCCACTTGGAAATCGTGAATCAGTGCTTGGCTGCTGCGTGAACCTTGGACTAACTCTGTCGTGAGCTGCTGGACTGACTTGTTCCTGGAGTTCCTTGGAATCTTTCTCGCCTTGCGGACGCGGCAGAGAAGGTCATGAAGGGAGATGGCAGCGCAATGTGGAATCTGATGTGGAAATACTGCATTTCTGTCAGGACGATCAGGTACGGTAAGAATATATGAAACTGTTTTGCGAGAAGTCTGAAGACTGCGTGTGTTAAAGATCGTCTGTCCTACTGCTCGTATCCTTGCACCCTGTGCAGTTAACTCCGAGTAGTCTGGGATGGTTATTAGGCTAGATGCTTACTTGTCCTTGTACTACAGCCGTGAAAAGAAAAATACAGGGTTATTGCGAAAAATCTTCAAGGAAAGTGGAGTTTTCATGATTTCAGAATCTTGGAAATGCCTCTGTCATTTGCAAGCAGGCAGAAGTTGGAATGTGAAAGAACCCTTCTTTTCACGAATACTTGCCTGTCATACCCTGCTGTTGATAGCATCTCCCAGACGCAGAGATGGAGCCGGTGTGCTTGGCGTGCCACGAGCATCGCTTGCTCCGGACCAAGGGGAGAGGGGGGAGAAAAGAAGGCGGCTTTTACGGCCGAACAGCACTCCGAGGTTTCAGATAT